CGTGATACTTCCACGCCTGACTATCCAAGATGAGCGCAGGCAAGTCTGCCTTTTCACCTAACCATTCATGCATAGAGCTAACCGAACGATTGAAGTTTTTGGCCAAGTTGTGGGTCCAATGGTTCATGATGGCCTGTCTCCATCTGTCGTCTAGCTCTGCCGGTGGCTGTGGGAGTTTTTCTTCAGCCCTGGCATACTCTTTCAGTTGGTTGTCCTTGAGGCCCTGTTGTGTGAGTACAAAGACGACGTGCGTCAGTGTCTGATGACCAAAGACTCGCTGGAGGAAGGACACAATTTTCTGGCAAATCTGATCGTACAAAAGCGATTTGCAGCAGAGAAGCACTGCTGATGGAGCACCATGCTCCTTAAACTGCTCCAAAAGCTTCTGCGTGGCCTTAGAATCATTACCATGCGGACTGGGAAAGCATCCTGAATCCATCATCTTCAATGCATCCGTCTCCACTACTTTGGGATTTTGGTCAGCTGAAAAGGCCTTGGGATCGTCCATCAAAGCATTGAGCAAAGAAGATTTTTCCACACCTGGGCCGCCCATAGCCAGGACAAAAGGCTTGGAAGGCATCGTAGACATAATATGCAATTCAGAACTTCAACTGGAGTACTTCGAGCTAGAGCTGAAAGCTGTGGAAGAATTGCCGCACTCCATCCATGGCTCTGGCAGAATACAGAAGTGGTTGGCTATTCTTGCGGTGTGAACTGTTTCTTATATCACTGAGGTGCCAGGTTCCTTGTGCGTTAAAAAAACGTCCAAAGTGATCATGTTGGGCAGCCATAGGCTGCTGCATGGTCCAAGTGAGGTCGCGTGTTACTTAAGAACGGCTGAGCACTCGCCAGGTATTTGATGGTTGGGGCTGCCCAAAACATTTCGAGGACTGAAGCTGTCTCTGAAGCTTCCCAAACGCTGTAGGCCGGCGGCTAGAAGGTGAGCAGAGGGAGAAAATAATTCTCTGAAAGCAGAAGGTTGGAATGGGATGCCAAGTGTACAAAAGAATTCGGCTAGATGCTTTCCAGCAAGTTGTTCAAAACAAGCAAACGATGTCACTCACCGACAGGCCTCTCTTCCTTTTTCCTGTCATCTTCACTCTGCCGCAGGATCCGAAAAGCTTCTCAGACTGGCTCTGTCTAATTCTCTGTATTCCGTGTCATTTCTCACCTTGTGTAGTTCCAAACAAATCTCCCTCTTTCTCACCTCTATATAGCGGCAGCATAGAGTTTTTTAATGGAAAGGCTTCCTGGCCTGCAGCACAGGTCAACACTTGCACAGCTTCCACGATGACTTGTTCTTTAAAACCAATCTCGATCAACTCAACATCTGTCACAAGTACCTTATCGAGAAAGTTGCGACAATGGCTGAATCCTTTGGCATCTTTGTAAGGGCTCTTGTACGTTTGCGTTCGCGTGGAGACAGAGACTTGATACTGAGTTGAACACTGTGAATGTGTGGAGCATCTTCCATCACTAATTTCCGCCAGACTGAAAGCGATGTCAAGAAGCCTGGAATGTCTTACCAATCCCGCAGTGTCAAGTTGAATACAAATGTTTGAGACTTCGATACGCTTGAGCCCCTCCTCAGAATTTCCAGTGGGATGTTGCCAATCCAAGAGGGGCTCCTTCGCTCCAATGGTTTCTCCAAGTTCTGTGTAGCTGTCAATGTCAGTGAAGACATGCAGCTGCACAGGCATGACCTCAGGAAATGCTGAGAGCAGGAGCTCAGCCATAATGCTTCCACTCGTTTCTTCCTCTTCATCTGCTTCGAACAAAGGAGGCCATTGCAGGAACGGCAAGTCGCATAGGTCTGGGAACTCTGTGAGGATGGCCATTGGAAAGTCTTCTCCTCTCTTTTTGCAAAATTTGTCCACAACATCACTCACTGCCTCGGCCCTCACATGCCTGAGAGTAACTCCTTCTGTTGAAGATTGAGAAGTGGTGTAGTTTGTTGTCTCACCTGTGGAGTGACCATGAGACTCGCCTCCTCCTTGCGAAATTGCTGCTCCAAACGTGTTTGCCTTGGATTTGGCTTCGGTTTGCGACTTTCCGGCTGAACCCGATTGCGCCAACGACCAAGACTTTGCCTGCGATTGCGATGTACTGTTTGTTGTCGAACTGCTCCAACCCTTTGACAGGGTAGGAATTGGGACGTAACCGCATGTTCCAACCCCAGTTGAGGTGGATGTCGAATCATTCTTGGAGGCGCTGATCCCGCATGACGTCGTGCCACCTTCACTTTTGGAATATCCAGAAGTCTGAGTGACTCCTTGAGTTGCTGACTCGCTTTCTGTCTCTGCACGGTTGATGGTGCTCGTAGCACTCCTAGAGGTGGTGTGGGAGGTGGTCTTTGTTTCACCTTGCCCACTTGAAACTCCATCATTTCGCGAAGCTGAGCCACCTTCCTTTACAAGACCTGAAAGTGACTCGTAGTCCAGCACCAGGAGGCAGGAATGTCCACGTTTGCGAAAATGGCCCATCATTTCCTCCTCAGTCCATAAGATCTCATTGAATCCTACTCTGTGCAAAACAGCGCGGCATCAACTAAGGGCAGGTCGACTTCGCGGAGGTAGAAAGCGAAATTTTCTTTCTGGTCATTCCAGGTGTCTGCATTTAATGGGACCACCATCGCCATTCGGCGTATAGTAGCGTAGTTGGCCAAATAGGCAGAAGCAAGTCTCCGGTCCAACCAACCTGGACCCAGCACCAATTCCATAGACTTGTGGCCTCGCTGGCCCACTGAAATCAAATGAATGGTACCTCCCAGGCAAACACCATTAATCATGACTGGATAGAAACTAGCGAAAACTAGTGACTGAAAGAAAACTAGTGGACAACAGCAGTCGGTCAAGCGCCTTTACAAAGATCGAAAATTAGATGTTCCGCTTGCGCCAGGAACACTTGACAAATAAATATTCCCAAGAAATCCAAGCGCGTCTGATGCGGTGGCAGCTTCATCCGAGATTTGGCCCGCTCTTCCTGCATCAGGTCGCAAAAGTTTTTGTTGAGCTCCGCCTGTCACCAGGCCGGAAGGTTGCGGGAAAAAGAAACATACGGCATAGGTGGCATAAAACAAACAAAACTGTGCCTTGCGCAGTGCCTGTCATTTCACACTTTGGAATAGAGCCCACCCACAAATACTTACAGGCCATTTGACCATGTAGCTATGGGTCGAACCTGTGAACAAGCCTTGGAAGCAAAACACCATGTGCATCTGTGCATCCATTGACTTTGCTACCCCCAGCAGAAAAGATTGGAGCGGTTTCCGATCCTGCTGTAAACTCAAGCAGCAAAGCACACTATGGGGTTGGATCTTTCTGTTGATGAATATTGCTATTACCATGGAGTACTTGAAGAAAGCTCGCAAGGCCACCTCAAAAAGGGGCAAAGAGGGCAGGAAGGAATCGAAAGGGGGAGGGCCCATAGCTGTGGAAATTCATGTGGTAACAGGGCAGGCAATTCCCATCGGCCAAAAACTTGCTAAAGCAAAAGCAACTCCCGAGCTGATGCTAGCTTTAGAGATTAGCATGTGAAAGACAGATCTAGCCGCAGCTGGCTGCCATTCGCTTCGCAAAGATCTGATTTGTCTCACCTTGCGGGCACCAGGTTTTTCACCTTTTCCGAATCTCCCCATGACGCATGCTCAATTGAGAAAAGTCCACGTCCTTGCAAGGTCTGAGGTGTTTCCAAGTGAAGTGAAGGGTCACAATGTCTCTTTCCCTTTATTTGGTTCCACTAACTTGCTTTTGGGTTCCTTATAGTTTCAGATTGGTTCTCTTTACTTCCCACTTGTGTTCCTTCCATGTTCTTCTGGTTCCTTTGTTTTCCATCGAGATCTCTTTGTTTTCTTTCTGCTTACCTCGCAAAGTTCTCCTGTCATGTTTTTTCCCTGTATATCTATACCTCTTGAACAAATACCTGTAGGGGGTGGCTTCTGAGACAAGGAAAAACACTGCAGTCGTGTCGCACCAAGCCTGACTCATCCCAGATTCATTCACTTTCGCCATGAGAATTCCACTCTTGCGACGCAAGAGATCCAAGTCCGCAACAGTCGAATCCATCAAGTCGGCAACACTCCATCCAGAAGGCCGACACAAGCCTCCCATGAGCGGCGAAGTCCATTCTAGTTCCACTCGTCATCATGTTACAACGTGACCTTGACATGTCGAAAAAATCCAGTGGGCAAATGGCCAAATGGTTGACTTCTTGAACTTTAACAGAACGCACCTTTCCCAGCACCATCGAAGACGCTCAGCACCTTCTCCGCGAAGAAATTCAACCTTCCACTTCATAGGCACATGAACCTTGATTCCGCTTAGCTTGAATACGCCATCTTCACAAGCAAACTGGCCTCTCTTCGAAGCTGAAAGGAAGGACTGGGATCCATTTCTCTAGGCGACCAGGTCGAACCATTGCATCGTCCAGCTGGTGCAGGAAATTCGTACAAGCAAGAACTACAATACCTGCTCTGCCCACGATGCCCAGCAATACGGACAGGACATCACGTTTGTTGGACTCCTTGCTATCCTGTCAGCAATGTCACAGAAAGTTGCCAAGTTTGTTTTTGCATACTACCTTTGGCTCATTGATGGATGAGATGACACACGACGCTTTATCAACTGCTGCAAACACTCCTAGGCACACGGCTGCCGGATGAATTTGCACAAAAAGTTTAATGAGTCGCGCTATGTTTTAAAACTGCGAAATTCAAGAATCAATCACCTGTGCAACCTACAGTCGTCAGCAGCTGTGATCTTTTCTCAGTGACTTGAGCCAAAAGCCAAGTTGGCAGCCGTGGAAAGCGCACTGGAGTGATATCTTAACACTCCCCTTGAACTGTGATCAGTGTTCACATGCAGGAGAACTTCGTCAGTGCTTACTTGACACAGCGTCAACTGACACTTCCATCTTCAGTGGTGCCGCCGGTGATTGCATCCAGCAGTGCGCCCAGTGCCCTCTTCATCAATGCCATAAATGACATAGACGCGCCGTCGACTGATGCAGAATCTAGGGCTTGTAGGGCTCGAATAGGTTTGGCCAGCACAGGCACTACTGTCGCCGATGGAAACAAAAACGCATCACCAATTCTACAACACCTTTTTCAGTGCAGTATCTGTGCGCAAGAAGAGGCACAACAACATGGGGACATCAAAGCTCTCTTCACTATCTTCACCCAAACGTGCCCTCAAACCTACGTCGGAGATGCACAGTCTGCTAAGTAGAGCTCATTCTTGGCAAGGACTAACTGTGAATCAGTCACATTGCTGTAGAGCTCAAACTCAGTGGAAGCGTAGGTCCAGTGAGGTCGGCAGTGACAGCTTCCCAGTGTGACGCCGCGCGTCTTGACCTCATCAGTGACAGTGACTGTAAAGACTGCAAATTGCACTTGGTCTCTGCAGTGGCATGCGCAAGCAGTACAGTCCATCCGTCAGCAGTGGACACTCGTGGCCACCAGCGACGATGAGTGGCCTTCTCACGGTTCCCTCTCAGTGAGATCACCTGCTGTTGCAGCAATGCTTACTGCATCTCCAGTGCACCGGACAGTTCAAAGTCTGGCACAGGTTCAGCAGCAGCCATCGTCCGCTGAGTGTCACCTTGCACAGGCACTTCAGCGGTGAGGTGCACACGAAGGTGTCCTCAGCGACTGTCGAGCAGTGAGAAGAAAAAACTGCGGCAAATTTCAGTGCGTCACGCCAGTGGCATTCAAAGTGTTCCGTGCCAAAAGCATGCAAGACAGTGGCTTTAAACACCTCCTGCAGAAAAACAGCTATACCGTGCAAGCAGTGTGGGCGGTACAGCGTTCCACCTCAAGTTTATCAAGAGTAGTCGGGGAGAAAGAATAGAAGCGCCAGTGTTTTAAGCAGTTAGTTTGGTGAGACAGTCTGGTAGCTCTTACAATTCAAACCGTTCAAAGGAGGTGAAAACACACAGCGCACAAGCAACAGTTCAGAACCAAGGTACTTATGTGAGAACGTCGGCGCAGTTCACTTTAGTTCCAACCTTTAGCAGGTTCAGGACCTTTCCAGTTCCTGCGCACACAGGAATCTCAATTCTACACGCTCTGTCTTTTGCTTGTAACCAACCTACCAGTGATCAGGTTCTAGACAAACAGCGCTTCAGCGCTTCGCTTGTGCGTTGTCCTATTGCGCCGAGCTCAGCGCGATTGTGCCTTGCTTCCTGCCTCCAAAAGAAACAGTTGAGTTCAGTATTTGAACCACAGTTTCACTTGCGCTTTTCCCAGTGGTCCGACATCCAGCCCAGTCAGAGTCTGTCCACTTGACAGTCTGAGCTTGACAGCATCACACTTGGACACAGTCGTTGACAGTAGTCCTTAGTACCAGCAATGTACCTCAATGATTGGCGCAGTCAAATCTCTCAAAAGTTCCTGAGTGGCATACCACAAGTCAGCTCTGATCAGTGCAAGCCACAGTAGCTGTCCAACAATCGCTCTATATTGTTTGCGACCGCTCGTGTTCAGTGGTTGTGGCTCAAGTAGTGCTTCCAGTGGTGCTCACAGGCTTTGCGTTTTGCATACAATATGTATCTAAATTATCTATCTTTACATACCCTTGCAACTTTGGGAGCCCGATGGCCAAGATGCGCTTTTGAGTCAGGTCTCCTACATTCCCACTAGCCCCAAACAAACTTGTTTGGTTCATGTCCACCCTAGGCGTGAGCATTTTGCGCGCTCGAAGTTTACTCAGTCCTTGGCGCTCCAACTGCGAGAGGTTCTGCTTTTTCTACAGGCCCTATAGAGCTCTCTGAGGGGCTCCACCACTTCTTTACGGGTCCACTATAAGCAGTCCTTTAAATTGGTTTGAGCGCAGTAGCTGATGTTGCGCTCTTGGAAGTTTATCCGTTTGACCTTCGGTTTCTGACCCGATGAGGCCACGAAGGAACTCACTTTGAGCCCCGGTAGCCCCGGTCGCCAACGCCCACGGTCTTGCTCCAGTGAATTGCTCAAGCAGCTTCTCGTCAAGGCCTTTCGGCCACGGACTTTGGCAAAGGTGCCACTTCGGACTATGCGCGCCCCCTGCAAGCGGAAGGCTCCATCAAGCGGTGTGTGGAATTCGATTTCGTTCAGAACCTTGTACTTTCGATGTAGCTGGCCAGACATGTCACGCAACTCAACCTTCACCCCCAGGTTTTTGGGGGACGGCGCCTGTGTGATGTGCGCTACTGCGCACACTGCTTGGAAACTGTGGCTCTTCCAAGATTTTGACCGTCCATTCCCATTGCATCGCGCCGTACTTCGAATTATGTTGGAGCGTGACTTGCTTCGGAATTTCCGCCATCGGCGGACTGAGCTGGAACAGGTCTACATCCAAAAGCTTCCGCAAATGGTGGCTCGCTTGACCTCCCCTTTCCAGGTAGACTGGCTCGACTATTTTTCTACAGCAACCCCTGCCTCAGCGCTCTACTTCCACTCCCACTTCCCTCCGAGGCAGTGGACTTGAGGCTAGCTCCAGAGCTCCGCTGCCATGCGAAATTCAAGGATCAATCACCTGTGCAACCTACAGTGGTCAGTCCTGCACACGGTGGACTCAGCAGCTGTGATCTTTTCTCAGTGACTTGAGCCAGAAGCGAAGTTGGCAGTCTTGGTGTGCGCAGTGGAGTGAGTGACAAACAAACAAACAAACAAACAAACAAACAAACAAACCAACAAACCAACAAACCAACAAACCAACCAACCAACCAGACCAGACAGACACAGACAGACACAGACAGACACAGACAGACACAGACAGACAGACAAACAGACCATCAACCCGGCTGCTGTCCTGCAAAGTCCGTTTGCGAGCGTGAGTCTCAATCTCGTCAAAGAAGAAAACATGAAGCAAGTGGGCGCGGGTTGCAGCTGAATTGGCCAAGGATTTGAGCACCTTCTCCGTCTCTCCAACATATTGTGTGTTGATGTGGGCAGTAACACCCCAAAAAAGTTCATAAAAACCAGCGTCTCTGAAGTGATGAAGCAAGGATGTCTTTCCAGTCCCGGGCGGTCCATGCAGCAATACTCCTCCAACAGATGGGCAACTGGAAAAATTTTGCGCGTCACCTCACAACTTTGCCTCCCCACTCGCATCACACGATCTACTTATGAGGGTTGTAAACTGCTCCAGAACACACCAAGCAGCTAGGCAAGCTCCGTCAACCCCGCATCAAACCAAAGCCGATCTATTTTTTTGGGCACCATATTGCCTGAAGAGGCTTACGAGGCCGCTTACCCTTTAATGAACGAAGTCATGACCAAAGTCTAGCTGAGCAAGCAATAGAATGCAATGGCAAAATAGTAGCGTCATCTCGGACTAGCGAAAGAGATAAAGGCCCGAATGCAAGATGTAAAATGGGAAGACGGCGCTACAAACTATATAAAAGACAACTTACTGTAGACTGAACACGACTTGCACGAATGTCTCGCAGGTAGCGGCAGAACTGCATAGAATTGCAGCACACGTTGGAACAAAGAGGTGAAGTTGAAATCCTGCAAAATGCGGAAGCCACCTTCCTCTGACCACTACTGAACGATTCCTCCGTTCAACCAAAGTCTGCTAAGCAATTGAGTTGATGCTGTCCATCAACATAGCAGCAACCACACTTTTTCTAGGGCACTCTTGCCAGACACTCCCACAAAAGTATCTCGTCAAACTTTTTGCAAGACACGTTTTGCAGAACATTCTTGTAAAACACGTTAGTAAAACATGTTTGTCAAAGGATCTTGTAAGACACCCTTACAAGGCACTCTAGTGGGGCTTGCAAGACACATCTAAAGGTCTTGTGAAGCATTCACAAGAGACACTAGAAGTTGGTCATACACTCTTGCAAGAAATTCTTGCTGAAAGCGGTTCCTAACCGAAGGAAAACACGCGGTCCGACCAAGGACCAAAAGCGCCGCACGCGCACGTTTCACCGCTGGCTCTCGAGCCCACCCTGTCGGATGGAAAAGGGTCAAGTCAAGTGGAACCTCAAGCTTGCATCCCATACACTTCCTGACCCTTTTCGGCCTCATGTGTAGGGATCATAGCGAACAGGGGATTCCTCTGCATCCCACGGCCAATTAAATTGTTTGGCCAACTTCTGTCAAAGCTGAGATGAAAGCAACCTCATTGGTTTCCATCTCTCGCATCTTTTGCTCGAGGATCCTCCTGTGGACTTTCCTGCCGGCTTCGAACTTCGGGTCACGCACTATTGTCGCCACTTTTGGCGTTCCAAGAAGAACTGAAGCAGCATCTTGCAAGCTCCTTGCTTAGTGAGCGCATCACCAAGCTGCGCGTGGCCTCCGACCTGAGTCTTGGCCTTCACGGCTTGCGCCACCGCGAGCGTGAGCTCGTAGCCCGCTCGGCTATCCCTCAGCCCATGGAGCGCGGACAGGTTCCGCGTCATGGCATCATAGATGCCGCGCGAGTCCATCGGCGCCTCCAAGCGCGAGCTCGTTCATGCCTTGCACGTTGGAGAGCTTGTTGAAGTTCCACGAACCTCTTCTTGTCGGACAAGAAGCTGCGGAATGGTCTCATTGGGACCTCGTCTGAGGCCACTCCACTTTTCCAACCTCGAAAATGAGTCGGGGATTGGAAGCTTCTGAAGAGGGCTTTCACGAAGTACCCGAAGTAGATTCTCCAGGCCTGTGTCCGAGCTGAAGTCCTTCGGGTCGAGGTGGCGCACCACTGACTTGGCCGAGCCAGAGAGGCGCTGCCAAATCTTGGGAGCTGCGAGCTTCTTCTCGCTGTCCTTCAAGGCGCCGTTCAAACCACTTGCAGGACGTGGCGAAGGGGTCGAAGGAGCTTGGATCTCCATCCCACACTGGGACCTCCTCAGTGGGCATCAGCCCTTGCCGCCAGGATCTCCTCGAAGGTCACCTGGATGCAGCTAGAGCTCCGCCTACCATGAAAGCGGTTCCTAACCGAAGGAAAACACACGGTCCGACCAAGGACCAAAAGCGCCGCGCGCGCACGTTTCACCGCTGGCTCTCGAGCCCACCCTGTCGGACGGAAAAGGGTCAAGTCAAGTGGAACCTCAAGCTTGCACTTGCGAAGCACTCTTGATTGCAAGCATTCTTGTTGGGGAATTCTTGCAACAAACTCTTGTCAGACATCCCTGTAAACACTTGCGCAAGGCATCTTTTGAGAGACACGCTTGCGAGCCGTTCTTGTTTGGAACCGTCTTCTGAGGCACTCTTGCAACACCACATGACACTTCACTACACCGCGCCACTTCACCACTGCACCGATGGCCATATCACACATCGTACATCACACTGCACCACATCGCTGATCACTCAACACATCGTACACCACGTGAGACCACAATTCACCACAAGCACCGCACGCATGAAAGCATAGCGTACCACTGCACAAGGCACAAGCAGCAACAAGGCACCTCGCGCAGTCTTGAAACGCATCTACAATCCGAAGGCCTCCGCGGACAAGGTATTGCACCTGCCACAAAAGAGTGAGCCCAAATGGAACTGCGATTGCTGCCAGGACACCTTCAATGAAATCACTCCCGCCACAAATACAAATCGCGAAGCCAGACACCTGTACCAAACATCGCACCCTTACGATTCTCTGCGCCTGCCACGCGCTTGCAGCCCCCACCACACCCTACTATAGCAAATTCGCAAGGTCCTGCGCCGCGCCTACGATCTTTTCTGATGCATTCTTAAGAATATGTGCAACAGCCAAACCCTGAGACTTGTTGCGAAAACGCAGCGCAGCAATTTCCAGAGGCACCCCGGCGTTCAACCCCTGGAACCGATCCACCCCCTTGTGAGACACTATATTTAATTAGAACACTGTTGTAGGAGACGGTTGTAACACACATTTATAAACACGCACGTACTCTTGCAAGATTTTTTTGCAGAAACCTCTTGCCAGTCTTCTGCAACACGCGGGTTGCTGTGAGTGGTGGAGCAAGGTTTTATCCTCATGAATCGAGAGACATTTCACATGGTACGAGACTACTCACACGACTAGCTGGAAGATGTTGGAAGGACGTTTGACAGATCTGCTTCTTGCACCAGATTTTGGACCCTGAGCGCATGCAATGGCACAATGGTTATGAGTCATCAGAGTGTACAACATTGAGTGGGTTCGCAAACGCAAGCCTTTGCAGTGATTGCAAGCTGACTAGGTGCACAATCACTGCGCGCACTCTGATCTATCAAACCTTTTGCGGGAATTTTTCAGCTGATTGCCTTTGGTCTTTGGTGTCTATTTTCTCAAGTTGGCCAGGGTTGTGGTGAAAGCTTTGCTACTCCATCTACTCCCTAACTGTTTGAACCACTCGCTACAACCCTTTCTGTTGGAGATAGAACACTTTTTGTGTGGCACTCCTGCGACACATTTCTGTGACACACTCTTTTGACCCTTTTGGAAGAGTTTCGCAATCTTGTCCAGCACTTCGCTACACAACAATGCAACTGCAAGCCAACTGCGTACCTTCGCACTCATACACTGCCCACATCGAACCCCAGATCAGCTGAGACGCAGAGTACTCCTTACACATCCATTGCAGTTCAATTCCTAACAAATGCACATACTCCTTCGCAATTCTGCGATTGCCACACATGTTGCACTCCAAACACGCTCAACAAGCGCAACTACTACTTCTCGTAGCACAGAATTCTTCTTACAAGCCCTCCTCGCACAGAATACTTCTTACAAACCCTCGTAGCGCAGAATCCTTTTCAGACCTCTACTTTGGGCGGGACCCCGACAAGCAAGGGCGCACGACTATTACCACTTCTCGCAGCACAGAATCCTTCTTAGAGGCCTCATAGCACAGAATCCTTCTTACAAGCCCTCGTAGCACAGAATCCTTCTTGAAGGCCTCGTAGCACAAAATCCTTTTTGCAAGCCCTCCTAGCACAGAATCCTTCTGAAAGGCCTCGTAGCACAGAATCCTTCTTACAAGCCCTTGTAGCACAGAATCCTTCTTGCAAACTACCCTAATGGCACAGAATCCCTCATATAGCACAAAATTAATCCTTTTCCGACCTCTACCCCGGCGCGGGGCCGCGGGGTCGGGGCGCGCATTGCCTGGTACAACAGAATCCTTCTCGGCCTCGTAGCACAGAATCCTTCTGAAAGGCCTCGTAGCCCAGAACCCTTCTTTTACAAGCCCTCGTAGCGCAGAATCCTTCTCAAATGCCTCGTAGAACACGAACCGTAGCGGTTAGTGTCTGAACACCAAAGCCATGGGGGCGGCTGCGCCCCGCCCCAACTCTTAGTCTGTTTCTTGTGGGCCTCCAATTCGCTGTTGCTTCATGATGGTTTACTGTTATATGTATGCTCTTACGCAACGCATATGCCTGCCAATATTTGGCTCAAGGTACATCTTGCGCGATAGAAAAGCCGCTTAGCCCGCCTTCGCTCGCACGCTCTTGTGGGACTTGCTAGTCTATAAGCCGATCCAGGTTGATACTGTTGTTCACCGCTCCACTGCGGGGGATTCCACCCTCAAAGTGGTAGCGGAGCTTCGTTGCTCCAGAAAACCCCAACCAACAGGTGTGCTTCGGCGCATTTTCGTTCGAGTAGAGCCGCTACAGCTAGCACACAATGAGCGATAATGAGAGTTCAGAAGAAGGCCATGAATCAGATTATTATCCAGATGGTAGCGCTACGCATTATCAAGCAAAAACGCCAACAAGCCCGGACGCCGCCCTAGCGGCAAGGCATCATATAGGCCAGATGCGTACGCAGCACAGGTTCCCGAGACCTCTCAACTTATTATAGGATGACTCTGAAGATTGCACCGACTTTCGATGGTTTAACATCCTGGTTTGAGTATGAAGATTGCACAGATGATTGGTTGAACCTGACAACATTGACTCCACCCAAACACGATCCTAGCCTGGAGAACAGTCTTGTAGGCGCAGCCGCACACTATAAAGGCATGCTAGAGAACCGTTTGCTCGCAGATCCAGATCATGGAGTTGACTATACTTGAAGAGGACACACTACCTCCTTTCTTCATCAAAGATAATCAACATGTGTTTCTGAGTGGATTCCTTCAGTTGTT